CCCCCCCGAGGTCAAGGACAACCCTGATGCGTCCCTCAATGAAATGGAGTTTCCGAGTGAGAGGAAGGGAGGTGCTGGAGAAGTCGTGCCTGAGGCCCTGCCCTGTGCACTCCTTTGCCCTGGGCTGCTCGGCCGGGCCACGTTGCAAGAGAGACACGGCTGTCCTCTGGGCTCCTGCAGATTGTCCTCACGGAGATGTATTACGATGGCTTCCACCGCTCTTTCTCTGACGTGGACGACCTGGACACGGTGCAAGAGAGCGACTGCATCTTTGCCTTTGAGACTCCGGAGATCTTCTGGCCAGAAGGGATCCAAAGCCAGAGAGGTAGGTGGACGTGTGGGTCTGGGCCCTCCTGCCTTGGCTCTCCGGACTTCCGTTTGTTAGAATACAGTAGAATTATTTATTGACTAAGTTTGTCTTTGGTGCAAATGCTCTCGGTGTACATAAAAGAAAAGACACATTCATCAAGAATCATCAGGTACAGCACTGAATGATATTCATAGGGTACAATAAGCAATCAAATCATACTAGGAAACAGTCAATGTACATCGTACGGATACAAGCGGCAAAGTTACAGCCATACAGTTACAAGTGGGAGGGGATGGGTGATGAGCAGTGAGGAGAAGATGAACAGTGATAGTAGTGTAAATAGTTGAACAGCGTTGAGGGAATTATTTGTTTAGCAGAGTGATGGCGTTTGGGAAAAAACTGTCCTTGTGTGTCTAGTTGTTCTGGTGTGCAGGGCTCTATAGCGTCATTTTGAGGGTAGGAGTTGAAACAATTTATGTCCAGGATGTGAGGGGTCTGTAAATATTTCCACAGCCCTCTCTTTGACTGTGCAGGATACAGGTCCTCAATGGAAGGGAGTATCATGCCCCTGGTGGAGATTGACTCTGAGGGAGAGGAGGAACAGCCAACAGGGAGTGGAAGTGTGGGGAGGAGGCTGGGGAAGGCCGGCTGAGCAGCCAGAGGAGGACCCAGGCCCATCCCCTATCCACCCTAGGGCATGCAAGGAGAGGATAAGGGAGAGACGTGGTCTTCTCGGGAGGAGAAGATCCTCTTCATGGGCTGCAGGTGTGAAAACTGAATAAGAGTTTGGACCTGCGTACTAGCAAACGCTGGAAACAAATCATGTAAATATCTCTAGTTTATGGTTCCTCTCTGAGTTTGGCATCCTTCCCAGTGTGTGTTATCTGTGGACGTCCTTGCCTGGTTTGTGTTGCTTTTTTCCTTCTTCGTGTACCTGTGTGGGAGGTTTTTTTTTTGTCTTCCATCAAAGATATTCGGAGCTTGGAAGCAAAGTGAAAGAATAAAAGGGGCTTCACCTGTTTTCTGTGACTGTTTTCTTTGTTTTGTATCCCACCTTGGGTCATCACAGGGAGGTTAGTAGTAATTGTTTTATCTGCAGTCCTAATTATCCGTTGAAGTCTGTGTCTGTTCTGTTGGGTTGCAGAACCAAAGCAGACAGTTACAGAGGTGCAGATGACAGACTCCATCATTCCTCTGTAGAACTGGATCAGCAGCTCCTTTTGGGCAGTTTGAGCTGCCTGAGTTGGTGCAGACAGAACATTCTTCGTTGTGCTTTTTTGATGATATTTTTGATGTTAGGTGTCCATTTTAGGTCTTGTGATATGATGCAGCCTAGAAATTTGAAGGTCACTACTGTCCCAGAGAAGGCTGCGTCTTGGCCTTCCATCCCATCCTTTAAGCTTTTTCTGCCCGGTCCAGATTTGGGAAACAGAGCCGGGCCTTCTGCTCTGGGCATCTCTGCAGAAACTCTCCTTGCTCTCTTCCAGGAATCCATGCCAACAGCAATCTGAACCACTTGAAATACAGCCTCGACCATGCCAAGTCGCCCACTTATGCCCAGGCGAGGCTGGAAAGCGGCAGTGCCCGGACAATGGCGGCAGCGGCTGCCCTGAGCGATAAGCTGGTCATCTTGGTGTGTAACAGAGCCTGCAGTGGACAGCAGGGAAAGAGGTAAGCCTGGCTCTCACCTGGTGCGCTCTCCTTTACCTGGGTCTGAACCTGTCGAAGGTGGCACGGGGCCTGGTTGCTGACAGTCCCTTCCCTGCCCGGCCACTCCTATCCCAACACCTGTGGGGACTCCGGAAATGCGGCTTCTTTCTTGCAGCACCTGCCCTCTGGAGGGAAGTCCCACCCCCAAGATTTAATTGACACACCGCCCCCCCGTTTTCCCCTTTTTATTTTTTCTGGTTTTATCATTCCTACCATCTTTATTCTTTTTTTTTTTGTTTTGTGGCTTTTTTTCCTTTTTAAAATGTTTTTAGCGATTTATAAACTGCCCAGAATCTTAGGGAGGTGATGGAGATCTCCATTAACAGTGAATTACCTTGTTATCACTATGCTGAAAATGCCCGTCCCTGGGGCGAGTCCTCATCATGAGGGGGCAAGGGTCCTGATTCTGGATTCCTTTGGCACGTGGGGCAGATCGGGCAGAAGGGCCTTTGTGCATTTAGCGGTGAGCCCAGATGGGGCCCAGATGCTCAGCCGCAGGGGACGAAGCTGTCCGAAAGTTGATGGTTGTGTGTTGTGTTAATAGAAGCCGTCAAAACAGGTTGGGCCCTGGAGGGTTCTGGGTGACTCTTTTTAAAAAAGTACACGGTCCCACCAGCCCGTTCTCAGACAAGTTGAACCAGGGATGGCCAGGCAGCCCTTGACTTACCGTGGTTGCTTAGCTGTCAGCGTTCCAGGAAACCTCCACTCCAAACAATAACTCTGAGACAGGCATCTTCTCAAACGTTCTGTTTTAATTGGATAGTAAACTGGCCCAACTGGGGAATCCCGAATCTGAAAGTTCCGGGCTTCCTTGCAATAAGTAAAGAACTAGAAATCCACCCCCTGCACCCATCATCGCATCACATGCCCCAATCACCCTCCGTCCCAACTTGAGATGTCCCCTCACTTATGCGCAAAATAACATGACCTTGAATTAGAGAAAGAAATTCCCCCCCTCCCATTTCCCTAGGGTCAAGAATGTGGCAGTGTGGACTATGGCTTCCAAAGCTGACAGGCATCCCCCCTTGAAAAAAATCACGTCCTGAAAAATACAATAAACAAATCACAACAAGAGGTTAATGCATTGTCCCCTTAACCCCCTCTCCCCCCTCCAAGGGGACCCTTTGGCTTGTTGGGGAATTTGTCATGAAATTGTTTAATCAATCTATGCGTGTATATCCCAACTTTTCACCCAAGTAGCTTCTGACAAAAGATAGCCTTTTCCAGAGCACTAAATATTGTAATCGTCCTCGGTGTAATCTAAAATCAAGGATTTTCTTTATTTCATAATGTTGTTTTGCCCTGTAACACCAGAGGTTTGGGGGGAGCTGCCAGTACAGGTCATAGATTGGAACCATTCATAGTTACGATGGACCCCGACCTCGTTTCAGACTTCTGATGTCCGGCTCCCTTCCGCAATCATATGGCTGCATTTTGGCAACTGGCCCAAATTGATGGCTCCTCAAAAGCCACATGACTCTGATTTACAACACTTTTCCCCAGAAATTGCCATTGACTTCTGGTTCCCGGCAAAAAAGGCCCCTTACAGATCAACAGGCTTACTTAACAACTGTGGCATTTGCTTAACCACCACTGCAAAAAGGTTATAAAATCGGGGTGGTGGTGGTCATGTGATGTCCCATTTTATGACTTTCATGATTTACAACCAGCCTTTTGGTGCCAACCAGTTGTTCTGGCAGGGACCAGGGTGAGAGGGGGCAGGCCCATTTCATCCGGGGAGGCTGGAGATCTATGGCCAGGGCTTTAGGATTGGCTTCCGGTGGGGGTGGGGCCACCACTTTCCACTGCTTAAACACCCTTTATAAAAATGTATTCATTCATTCATTCATTCATTCATTCTGTCAACTCATAAAATATTTCTCTGGTCTTAGAGTTGCCAACAGAAAGGGAGGGAGGGAAAGGGGGTTTGAAAGAGCAGTGCAGCAGCTTGGAAATCGAAAGTGCATTCCATAAATAGTTTTTCAAAGATAGTAACTAGGTGACTGAAGTTTCTGCCACACAAATATCTAACGGGAGAGCATGATTGATGACTCTGGGCTATGGAGCTGTCCCATTGGAGAATATGAATTATGATACACCCAGGAGGTGGGGGAAAACCAGGGTCAAGGGTGACAATGAATGATGTGCTTCAGAGTCAGCTACACCCAGGCAGTGCCAGCATGTTAACTCCCAATAAATCCTTTTGCAGTTTTGGAAGTTTGGCTCGAGACTCGTGATTTAATTGGGGGGAACTGCCGGAATCCTGACACTTTCATTCATTCAGTTTGAATATCCTACCATCTCAGCCAGTGATTCTGAGTTGTGAACACTCATAAAAACAATTAAACAGTAAAAACAACGCAAAAAAGAAGTTAAAAACAGCAACCAAGAGATATTACACAGTAGTCCTCAACTCACAACAATCGGTTTACTGACAATTCGAACTTACTACGGCATCGAAAACGACTGATGACCATTTTTCACACTTACCACCATTGCCCCATCTCCATGGTCACGTGGCCCAAATCCAGATGCCTGGCAACTGGTTCATCTATATGATGGTCGCAGTAATCCAGTCCGAAGGGGGGCATGAGTGACGGTGAGCAGAGCCTCCGGTCCAGGAACAGGTGCAACGGGTGCAATGCGGCCGCTGCTCTTCTGGCAGGGACCAGGAGTCCAGGGTTGGGCCTCCCTAACCAGCTCTCCCCCCCCCCCCCCCCCAATCTGCTCCTTTCTCAGGTTTGGCCAGCCCTTTGTGCTGCATTTGGAGAAGACCATCCCTTGGGACCTCCTGCAGAAGGAGATCTTGGAGAAGATGCAGTATTTCCTGCGCCCCTCAGCGTGCATTCAGGTAGGGGGCCATCCTCCCTTCGGCCCTGGTGCCTCAAGCAAGGAGGGAGAGCTGGTCTTGTGGCCACTAAATCCAACGGGATGTTTACCGTTTTAGTTGGCGTTACTAAATCACCCTCCCTTCCCTCCCTCCCTCCCTCCCTCCCTCCCTCCTTCCTTCCTTCCTTCCTTCCTTCTCATTTCAATCTCCCTCCTTCCTTCCTTCTTTCGCATTACAATTTCCCTCCCTCCCTCCCTCCTTCTCATCCCAATCTCCCTTGATCCTTCCTTCTTTCCTCCCTCTCTCCCATCCTATTCCAATCTCCTTCCTTCCTTCCCTCCCTCCCATTTTTTCAGCAACCATCAATAAAAGGTGTCCCAAGCAAAATGCAAAAGAATGAAAAATCCTCAACAAAATGTTGGATTGGAGATTATGTAAGGCATTGTTAGAAACCACAACGGGGAGGGGGGGGGAGCTTAAGAGTTCTCTCCTCCTTGCTCAGTGGCTACAAGTCCTGTAGGGACCCCCCCGAAAGGAAAGAAGCTTTATGACACAGCGAGAGGGCAAGACAGGGGGAGGTGTGTGCAGGTGAGCCTCGACTTGCCCCTGCAATTGAGCCTGGCCATTTTTGCTGGAAACTGGAAGAAAAATGCCGGTTTCTAGCAAAAACATCGGAAGGTGTGGTCGTATGACTGCAGAAGGTTGCAGGCAGCCATAAATTCAGGCTGGTTGCGAGTGCCCAAAATGTGGCCATGGGGCTGCGAGGTATGCGTGTGTGTGTGTGTGTTCATGTGTGTGTGTCCTCATTTGTTGGAACTCTGGAACTGTGTTGTGAGTCGCTTTTGGGGGTTCTGTGGTAACTTTAACCGGTGGTAACTTGAGGACTACCTGTATCTTTTTTTTGGGGGGGGGGGGGCGCTTTAGATCCAGCCTTCTGGCCATTCAACTTTGGGCGGTGTGCTCTGTCCGTCCTCTCCTCCCCTTCCACGCAGGTGTGTCCGTTCAGCTTGCGAGTGGTCAGTGCTGTGGGCATCACGTACCTCCTACCTCAGGAAGAGCGGCCTCTCTGCCACCTGATGGTGGAACGGTGAGCAGGACGGAGTTGGAACTTGGGATCTTGTAGGTCATCTAGTCCAGCCCCCCCCAAACCCCACCGCCCAAGCAGGAGACTCTACCCCATTTCTGACCAAGGGCAATCCAGTCTCTTCTGGAAAGCCTCCAGTGAGCTCCTGCCTCGGGCCAAGGAGCTGCTCCTTCTCCACGGGGAGCCATGCAGGATGTGGCTGCAAAATTGGGGAGGGGGGCTGCTGAGGCCTTTGCCCGTCCCCCGTCTGTGGAGTCTCTGGGGCGGCAACAGCAGCATAGAAGAGCCCAACGGCTTCCCCAAAGGGCACCTGCCCTCTTCCCTCCGGTCCCACGAGGGGGGCACCCATTGAGGGGGGGCTGATCCTGGTTGGGGTGGGGGGCTCTTTCCTTATTCTGTTCCCTTTGCAGAACCTTGAAGTCCTGTGGGACAGGCGGAACCCCCCATGTGAAGTTGGTGGTCGAATGGGACAAGGAGACGAAAGACTAGTAAGGAAGGGCCAGGGGTTTTTTTGGGGGGGGAGGGGGGGGCTTGCTGCAGACTCCAATCCAGGGGCCCGGATCAGTTCTGCTCCGCGGGGCTTCCCTTGCTCCCCGAAGCGGCTGCTGGCAGGGGCAGCGAGGCGGGTGGCAAGCCTGGGAGGCATCAGCCGACCTTCCAGAGGATGCCCAGGGGAGCCCCTGAACCCAGGAGGCCTCTGCCTTTTCGGGGGTGGCCCTGTTCTGACCCAAACCTTGTTCCAAGGAAGCAAACACGAAAAGAAGGTAACAGCAAAACCTTTTAAGGATTCTTGACGAATTCCGTTCCTTCCCGGTTAAAAGGCTGTTACAAATTAATTATCTCTGATAAGAACAAGCCTTGCCAAGGTGGTGCAAGGCTTCCAAAAACACTAGATAAAGCTGCCAAGAAATAGTTTAAGCACAAAGATTCTCCAAACACCAACCAAGATACTCTGAACGTCCACAAGGCTTGAGCGCAAAAACTTCTTTGCTTCCTGCAAAGAACCCCGGTTTCTCAGCTGGCTTTTATCTCTTAAGGGAGGGGCCATCACCTTGCAGCCTTACTCCCGAGTCACTCGTGCTGCTGCAGCTGCTCTTTCCTTCGAGCATCCTTGCGCACACGCGCCCTGGGCACAGGCTCCTCGGCGACCTCTTCACGACAAAGGCAACCAAGACGGGCTCGTTCCTGGGCGGAGCCGCCCCATTGGAAAGAATCGGATGTTCCCACCCTGCTTTGTGTGTGTGTGGGGGGGGGCTGTGCCACGTTGCCTTTTGGGGCCTGGCTATCTCTGACGCAGCCTCTGACTGCCCTTGAATTCTTCTGGGCTGTTTTTCTTTCTCTCGGCTGCCCGGAGTGTCGCTCTTTCAGCTGGGCGGCCGTTGAAACAAACCGGGAGACCAAATGCCCCCCCCCCCCCTTTTCCTCCTGCCTGTCGCAGCCTGTTCGTCAACACGGAGGAGGAGTACATCCCGGATGCCGAGAGTGTCCGCCAGCAGAGGGCGCTGCACCAGCAGCCGCAGTCCTGCACCTTAGCCCAGTGTTTCCAGCTCTACACCAAAGAGGAGCAGGTCAGTGGCCTCGCGGGTCCTTTGCCCGTCCCCCCCCCCCCCGCCCCCTCCGTTTGAAGTTAGGGAGCACACTGCCTGCCCCCCCTCCCCCCAAAGCTTTCTTTTCGCGTAGTCCTGCCTCCCCTTCTCAGCTTTCTCTGATTTGCTAGGGGAAATAATCTGTGCTTTGCAGCCTGGAGAAAGTCAGAGGGGATGCGGGGGGGGGGGGGGGGGGGGACCCCATGGGGCTTCCCCCAACGCCCCCCCCCCCCATCTCCTCCGAAAGGCTGGGAGAAACCCCGTGTCGACTCATAAAACATTTCTGTGCTCTTTTTAGAGTTGCCAACGGAAAGGGAGGGGGGAGCAGTGCAGGAGCTTGCAAAACCGAAACTGCATCCCATAAATAGTTTTTCAGAGATTGTAATTAGGCGACTGAAGTTTCTGCTGCGCAAAATTCTAACTGGAGAGCCTGACGGATGACTCTGGGCTATGGAGGTGTCCCATTGGAGAATATGAATTATGACACACCCAGGGGGTGGGGGTGGGGAAACCAGGGTCAAGGGTGACAATGAATGATGTGTCTCAGGGTCGGCTGCACCCAGGCAGTGCCGGACATGTTAACTCCCAATAAATCCTTTTGAAGTTTTGGAAGTTTGGCTCGAGACTCATGATTTAATTGGGGTGACTGCCGGAATCACAGCAGGGCTGCCAGAAGGGGCTGGGCCATTCTCTGCCTGCTAAGCTGGCCATGGCTGTGCTCCGCTCACTCTGCCTTGCTTGGAGGGAAGGGCCTTGCAGGGCCAGGGAGGGGCTCCTGCTGTGCCTCTGACTGCCCTCCACCCACGCTTCCAGCTGGCCCCCGATGACGCCTGGCGCTGCCCGCACTGCAAGCAGCTGCAGCAAGGAAGCATCAGCCTGAGCCTCTGGACGCTGCCTGACGTGCTGATCATTCACTTGAAGCGCTTCCGACAGGTGAGTGGGGCTTCCTTGGGCCTCCTCTGCAGCCGGGGCCAGTCAGGGAACCTCCCCCCAGGTCTGCCTCGTGCGGGGCTGCCTGGTGATGCCAACCCCCCCCCCCCTTTCCTCCCTCTTCACCAGGAAGGAGACCGGCGCATGAAGCTCCAGAACATGGTCCGGTTCCCCCTGACTGGCCTGGACATGACCCCTCACGTGGTCAAGCGAAGCCAGAGCAGCTGGAGTCTGCCCTCCCACTGGTCCCCCTGGAGGCGCCCCTACGGCCTGGGCAGAGACCCCGAGGACTTCATCTACGACCTGTATGCCGTCTGCAACCACCATGGCACCATGCAGGGGGGCCATTATACAGGTGACCGAGCTGCTGCAGCCCTTTGGCATCGTGGGTGACTCTTCCCCTGGGAAGGCCTTTAGTGGTCAGGGCCCCTTCCCCCCACCTTCCCGTCAACCCCCACCAGCTGGGTCCGTGTTCGGATCCCTTTGACTCCCAGCAGAGCCTTTCCAGGGCCCTTCCACTGGGTGGGGGGTTCCAAAGCGGGGTGCTCCTCGGCTCCTTTCCTCCCCCCCCCCGGCTTTGGGGGGGGGGCTGTGCCACGTTGCCTTTTGGGGCCTGGCTATCTCTGACGCAGCGTTCTCCTGCAGCCTACTGCAAGAACTCGGTGGATGGCCTCTGGTACTGCTTCGATGACAGTGAGGTCCAGCAGCTGGCCGAGAACGAGGTGTGCAAGCCCACTGCCTACATCCTCTTCTACCAGAGGCGGACGGCCATCCCCGCCTGGTCAGCCAACAGTTCCGTGGCAGGTAAGAGCAGGAGCTGCCGCCGCTCTTCCTCGCCTTCCTCGCAGGTCAGACGGTCAGAACTCTTCCTTCTGATTGTCGGCAAAGCCTCCTTGGCCCTTTGCTCTCCTGCGCTGAGCCCAAAGCCGGGTTGGGGCCCCTCAAGCTGCCCCCTGCCTGACTGGCTGGCCTTTCCCTCCGGCAGGTTCCACCAGCTCCTCCTTGTGTGAGCACTGGGTGAGTCGGTTGCCGGGCAGCAAACCGCCCAGCGTGACCTCGGCGGCCTCCTCTAGGCGCACCTCCTTAGCTTCCCTCTCGGAGTCGGTGGAGCTGATGGGGGAGCGGAGTGAGGATGACGGTGCGTACACGGGGGGGGGGGGAGAGACAGGGGTCTTGGGAACTGGCTTCCTTCCCAGCCCCTGACGCTCAGTCCCTGCGAGGGGATCCACAGGGGTCCTGGAGAGCGAGGAGGGCGCCTGGCTCCCTGCGTGGGGGAGGCCAAGGCGACGCGGTTGAATCCTGTCTTTGTGCCTCGCAGGGGGGTTTTCAACCCGGCCCTTCGTGAGGAGCGTCCAGCGCCAGAACTTGTCTTCCAGATCCTCAGTGACCAGCCCGTTGGCCACCAACGAAAACGGGATCCGCCCATCGTGGTCCCTCTCCGCCAAGCTGCAGATGCGCTCCAACTCGGCTTCTCCCGTCCACGGCTCCTCTGCCACCCTGGAGAGAATCGGAGAGTCGGCCGATGACCGCGTGGCCACTTCCTGCTTTGGCAGCCGGCGGAGTCTCTCCGGCAGCCCGGTGGAGCCCAGGGCAGTGGGAAGCAGCCACCGTGGTCAGCAGGACTCTCGGACACTCGGCAGGGCCCCCCTGGCGGTCATGGAAGGGGTCCTCAGAGATGATGCCCCAGCGTGGAAAGCCCCCGGCAAGACAGCCCTGCAGGTGGACAGAAACGCTCCTCTGGGCCCCTTTGACAACAACAACCAGATCGCCTTCGTTGACCAGAGCGACTCTGTGGAAAGCTCTCCGGTCAAGGATGGTCAGAACTTTGGCTGGCCGGCCAAGCCGGATGCTGGCAGCCCCCTCCAGGCCCCTCCCTCCCAAGAGAGCCTTGGGCCGGGCAGCGGCTTGAAGTTGGGCCGGGCAGCCTTGTCCAGCCAGGATTCCCTGACATCTCACCGGTCGGCCGCATCCCCCCCTTCCTCCAAAGCCTTGCCGAAGGCGCCCCATTCCCGGAGCAAGCTGGACTCGTGCAGGGCCAGTGGGCGGCCCGGTTCTCCTGCAGCCAGGCCGGGCAAGAAAGACTCTGGTGGGAAGGGTCCCGAGGCTGCCTCGGCCCCCTCTGCGCAGCCGAAGCACCGGCCGGTTTCCTCGCCGTCTTCCTCCTCGGCGGCCAGAAGGAGCTCCTCCGGGGGCTCTGGGCGGGGACACCCCCCCTCGGGCAAGGGCAGGACTTCGGAGCGCGGCCTCAGCAGGGAGGCCTCCAAGCTGAGCATGGGCTTGGAGAAGATGGGCGGGGCTACGAGCCCGCGCACCAACTCTCCTCGGCTGGGCCAGGTGCGTGGGGAGGGCAGGGCGCCCGAGAGCAAGCACGTGCGCAGCACCTCCCTGGCCAGCCTGCGCTCTCCCGGCCCCGGGCCCCGGCCCAGCCTGAAGAGGGACAGCAAGTCGGAGGAGAAAGGCTTGTCCTTCTTCAAGTCCGCCCTCCGCCAGAAGGAGACCCGCCGATCAGCCGACCTGGGCAAGACCACCCTGCTGGCCAAAAAGGTGGCGGGCGGCTCCTGCAAGGCTGTGGGGAAGACCCTCTCGGAGGAGAAGCTTCTGGAGAAGGCGACCCTCCCCAATGCCAGCGTGGCTGCCAAAGACCCCTTTGTGCCCGCCAAACGCTCCCTGCTGACCGCTTGCAAATCGCAGTCTTCCCAGCCGGATGGCAGCCTCAAGTCCCCCGGGGGGGGCAGGCCGGCCATCAACAAGGCTCTGCCCAAGCTGCCCCCGGGCGTCTCCTCCTCCACCTGCACATCTTCCGTGTCGCCGTGATCCGCTGCTGCTCGGCTGCTGCTCCTCAGCTGCCCCAGAGGGGCAGCCGCCTCCTCGTTTCCCATGGAGGGGGGAACCTCGCTGCTCAGGCCCCTCCCGGTTCTGTCCGCATGCCAGGTGGCCGTGGGCCCTGGCAGGGCTGCCCAGACCCCCTGCTAGCCCCCCCCCCCCACAGCCTGCCCTCCTGGAGTGCAGGACTACCCGCCGGGTGGTCTTGCCAGGCGGGCTCTCCGGGGGCCGGCCAGGGCAGCTGGTGGCCCAGCTCTGTGAGCTGAGAAGGCCCCCGAAGGAGCCCGGGGCACGAGCGGCTCCCTGGTTCTGCTGTGCTTCCCTGCCTCCTCCCCCCCCCCCCCCGTTGCAAGCTTCGCCAAGGGCAATATCTCAGCGCTTACATTATTTCTCAGGTAAATGCTCAGCCAGAACTAGGAGGAACCGAAGACTCTGAGAAAGGTGCCTTCTCTCTCTCTCTCTCTCTCTCCCTCCCTCCCTCTCTCCCCCTCTTCTCACATTCTTTTCATCCTGAAAGGTCTCTGTTTGGTGGGGGGTGGGGTGGGGTGTTGCTGTTTTTACGGCCTGTCCCGCCCAGGGCCCCCTTTGTCCCTCCCTGCCCTTCAGGAGAGAGGGAAGGGGAGCCGAGGGCAGGAGGGGGGCTGTCCAAGGGGAGGGGGCCGGGAAGGCAGGGGGTTCGTGCTGTCCCTGGAAGTGGGGCCCAGGGCTTCTGGCAGGAGGGGTGCTCTGCTTTGGGGGGGCCCAAGGCGGTTCGGGTTCTTGCTTCTTCTTCAGCCTCCCAAGTCCCCATTCTTGCCCCAGCTCTCTCTCTCTCTGGAACCAGGACCGGATCTTCCTCCCCACATTTTTCGTCTGGTTTTCCCTGGCGGCAGTCCTGAGCGCTCTGGACTTCCGACCCCCGTCTTGTTCCTTCTTGCTCAGCTATTCCCAAACACCCTCCGTGTCCGCTGGCTGGGTACGGACGTGCAGAAAGGAAGGATGCCTTAGATCCTCTCCTCTTCCGGATGGCAGCCCCCTCCCCGTGCAACGTAGCAGCCGGAGCTGCTGCTTTCTTGCTGCCTCTGCTTTGCAGGTTCCCCCCCCAGAGGAACGGAGCCCCCATCCCCTCCGTGGCTGACCCTCTGAGCTCCTCTTTGGCTGCTCTGCAGGGGGGTCGGCCTTGGCCTGGGCAGCTCTCGCAGGAGGCTTTTGACCTGGGCTTCGTGCCCCCTCCTCCGTCTCGGGCTAGATCTCTAAGCAAGAGTGGTTAAGGAGCCGCTCGCTTGCTACTCCCCCGTGGAAAGCAAGAGGGAGCTCCCTTCCCATGTTAGAGGAGCTTCCAGGAAGGCCTCTCCTACTCTGCAGGGCTTGGCCCCTTTGGAACAATCTTATGCAACTAGCTCCGTCCAAGAACATTGGGATCAAATTCCCAGAATTCCCAGCCCCCATGCTGAATTCCCAAATCCCAGAAACCCCAGAATTCCCAGTCCCATGCCGGCTGCTTCTGTAGAAATGAGGATGAACTTCAATGCTTCAGGTTGGAGAAGAGCAGCTGGCTCCTGGGTGGGGGCAAAGAGTTGCAGGCTGGTCTCTTGTCTATGTTGTCTGTGGGGTGTGTGTGTGTGCACACATGTATTTGCTGTAGTGGCATATTATAGAGGTGCAGCAAGGAGGAGGAGAGCCTGTGGATGTAGGAGTCCACCTGACCCTTGAGGTGTCTGTCCTTTTTTGTGGAGTAACACCAGCTTGCTTGGAGCAACCTTCTAAAGCAGGGGTCTCCAACCTTGGCCGCTTTAAGCCTTGTGGACTTCAACTCCTTCAACTTTGGGAGTTGAAGTCCACAAGTCTTAGAGTTGCCAAGGTTGGAGACCCTTGTTCTAAAGCTCTTCGTGGCTGCTGTTTGGAGTCTCTTATGGTTGGGGCTTCCTCTTGGTTCTCCCATGGACCTCCTTTCCTTGAGAGGAAGGCCCCGTTCTTGAGGTCCTCCATTGCCAACATTGTCATCTAGGACTCACGGGGCATCTGAACAAGTTGGCCAAAGAATCAAGGTGTTGTGTTGATTGTGTGACACCGGAATATCCTATCTAGAAAGCTTCTTGAGTTCTTGGGGTTGGGTAGATGGGGGGTGGGGATTGGTAGCAACTAATTCTGGCATCCTTCAAAGAGGATAGGAACCACGTTCCTCCTCCGCAAGCATATTTCTTCCTTGTGTGGTCATCCTTCCAGTGCAGAAGAGTCCCAATTCCTCATCCCAGAAGGCTTTCTTCTTCTTCTTCTTCTTCTTCTTCTTCTTCTTCTTCTTCTTCTTCTTCTTCTTCTTCTTTTTCTTCTTCTTCTTCTCCTTCTTCTCCTTCTTCTCCTTCTTCTCCTCCTTCTTCTCCTTCTTCTCCTTTTTTCTTTTCTTTTTGTCTGATTAGGTTGGTGTTAAGTTGTACCTTGTTCTGTTCAGAAGAGGTACACCTTGAACCCTTCACATTAACTTGTCCTCAATACGCCACATGAAGCCTTTGCAGCTCTCGCTTTAAGTCAGTGTCTTTACACACAGATGAGGCTCGGACCAGCTCAGAGAAGTTGTTGGGACAGGGAACCTCCATGCTCCAGCAGGGACTTCATCCTGCAGGCAGTTTTGTGCTTAGCAGTCACATCTAGGATGCTGAGCATGGCCAGTTCCTTTCCCCCTACTACCGAAGTTCCATTTGCATGGTGCTGCTCAGCTGTCCCCTATGCATGCCCATATTAAGTATGCAAACAGCTCTTGCAAGCTACAGTAGAATACACTACGGCAAGGATCGGCTCCCCACTTCCCGTCTGAGGTTTCTAAGTTGCCGCTCCCAGCATCCCTGGCCGTGGGCCGTGTCCCCTTGGGATGGTGGAGTGCTGTCTGGAGGCTGCCGCTCAGGCACCTTTGGTCTTTGTCCAAGCTGGAACCGGATGCATCTGAGGAGCCCCCGGCCTTTGTTCCTTGCTTGGTAGCCCCCCCCCCAAGCTTCCTTTCTGTGATCCTCGGTTGACTTCTGTGGACATAAAACTTAGCTGTGAAGTACTTCAGAGAAGGCAGGCAGTTGTTCTTATTGTCAGCTATGTTTGTCTCTCTAAGCAAGAGAACCTATGCAGCTTTTCCCCCAGAGCCCCCCCTGACCCACTTTTCGTTGCGCAGTTTCATGAACGTTGTCAGCTCCTGGCAGGTCCTGCGCTGGGAATGCCACCCACCTCCCCACGGCCCAGGAAGGCAGAGCTTCGTCCTGGCCAGGGGAGCTGGCTGTGGGGCTTACGGCCTGCAGAGCCGCTTAGGAGGGGCCCTAGAAATGCCCCCCCCCCCGATGCCCAGGACGGGCCGGGCCTGACTTGTTCCGTGCCTTCTGCTTTTGCCCTTGGGGGGGGGGGGGGGGGCAGAAGGCGCTTGCGCTTGGAAATTCCAGCTGGAATTACATTTGTGGGGAAAATCTTTTTTTTTTTTTGCTCATTTCCCAATTAATCTGCTGATGGGTCCAACATTAACTGCACAAGCAACTAACATTTAATTTTAATCTTGGGTGAGTCGACGCCAGGGTTTTTCTTCACTTGGGGGTGTGGGGGAGACACGCTGACCTAAGAGCCGAACTGGAGAGACTTAACAGAGGAGAAGGAGTTTTCCACACGGGGAAGTGGTGGGAATTCCTGACGGCGCTGGAAGCATTTCTGAGCTCAGCCGCCCCCCCACCTCTGATTCTGCCCTCTCCGGAAGGGGCAGCCGGAGAATCCATCGCCGTGAAGCTCCTGCTCACCTTGGGCTGAAACTAGACGGCCAACCCGACGAGTCCACCCGAGTTGCGTGTGAGGAGCCGCATGCTTTCCTCCCCTTCCCCGCTGCCGACTTTGATACGTGATCAGAGTTTCCGTCTTTTTTTTAAATCTCTACAATCCACTGGGCGGGGAGGCTGTGTCTCCTTTCCCAGAAGGCGTTTTAACTTATTTTGGGAGCAAGTGCATGAGAGTGTGTCAATGCCTTTTATTTATTTGTATGCACTTTTAATATGCAGAATTTATATTTTTATGTTTTGAAAAATAATTTCTTTTCCTGAAGAAGAGTTTGGATACAAGGGATTGGATGATTAACAGTGAAAAAATGTAATAATAGTTCAATAAATTTACAGTGTACAAGCCCTGGCATGAGGGAAAGCGTTTTTCTTCAAACTTTACACACACACACACACACACACACACACACACACACACACACACACAGACAGACAGACAGACAGACAGACAGACAGACAGACAGAGGTAATGACAAAATCTCCCTTGTGTGGAGCTAGAATTTGGTCATAGCACAGATACATCTGAGTTGTGTTTTTAGCAATAACATGAAAGCAATTTACCGCTGTTTCATTTGGATGCATTCTTTCAACTCCCCAGTTCAAAATCGCCAAACTCAGAACGTCTGACTGGGAGAGTCTGGGGCCCAGTTTAATCCATCTCCCCACCCAGTGCAGCCCTGAGACTTCCATGTCCTCCTGGATCAAACTTGGCTTCTCCTGGGCTGCCCAAGTCCCCGAGGGTAAAGGGTGATGATTTTTCTCTACCGTAGCTCTTCTTCTCAAGCTAGATAGCTCATAATGACGAGCAAAACATCAGATTTCCCAGAATTATCCATCTGCCTGGAGAAATGGATTGAAGAGTCTTTCCTAAAACGTGGTTCTACCATATCTAAACAGATGAGAAGTTCTCTCTCTGTCTCTCTCTCCCTCCCTCCCTCCCTCTGTCTCTCTCTGCTGTGTCCTGCTGCCTTTGCTCCCAGAAGATTGCTCAGGACAAAGAACCTGCAACCAGTGCATCATGGAAGTTAACAGAATAATTAGAGCGGGAAGGGACCTTGGAGGCCTTCTAGTCCAGCCCCCTGCTGTACCATTCCAGACACAGTGGCTGTCCAATCACCAAGCTCTGCTGAGTCACTTGAAGAAATGAAGCCCAGAGTGTCTTTCAGCCAAAGCAAAATCTGGGGAGATTCAGGGGGGATTTCAGAAGCAGGTTGGTCAAGGATTGTGTTCTGACCAAGGCTTCCTGAGACCATAATTAAGCACACGCTTAGTCAAAGTAACATTTCAATGCTGGGAATTATGTTCATTCCCAGCCTGTAATGAGTCCCAAACAGTCCCTCAAAATAAGCACCCACCTTTCTCGAATTGCTGCCAACAACTAAAGTGCCAAATTAACTATAAAAAAACAGCCAAAGTACAAAGTCCGCACACAGCTTCAAGGATTAATCCAAATGAACGACTTTGCTTCCTGCAAAGGTTTATTCATCTTTGCCTGTCTTTTATCCCTTATGGGAGGGGCAATCACCGCCAAGCCTTACTCCCGAGTTGCCCCTTTTGTCTTAGTTGCTCTTGCCTTCTGGCAGCTCTGTGCACACACACACACACTGGGAACAGGCTCCCCCTGTTCCTCTATCTCGCTGCTGCCAGACTCTGGAGGCAACTGCTGTGTGCGCACAAGGAGTTTCTGCCTCTGGACTGGTGGAGTTTCTCCAATGCTCTGCAGTTGTCAACTCTTTTTAAGTGTCTGATGCACAAGCAGATTCCAGAATTCTGGAGAAGATCCTGTCTTCAAGCTTAGATTAGGCCTGGGAAAGCACTTAATTTCCTGTGACATTTTCCAGGATTGTAAAACCACACACACACACACACCCTTTTTTTTAAACCTCTTGGTATTAAAATAGACTCATGCAGCGCACAGGATCTTCCTTTCTTTTATATTGCAACAAGTCTGTATGGAATACAACAAAGTTTTTCTCTCGGAATTTCTAAGGGCAGTTTCTTGCTTCTAAGAGTGAATTTTCTTCCACATTTTATTGTCCATCTCTCAGTCGAAGGCCTTTCCTCTATAAGGAAGTACCAGGGTTTGCTTACCTTTTTAATAATGTATTGAATATTATACAGATAAAACTAATGCTATCTAGATCAGGGGTTTCCAACCTTGGCAACTTTAAGACTTGTGGACTTCAACTCTCAGCCTTGCTGGCTGAGGAATTCTGGGAATTGAAGTCCACAAGTCTTAAAGTTGCCAAGGTTGGAAACCCCTGATCTAGAGAGTATAAAAGAGAAATTGTTAAAAAGAAAAATTGTTCAAAGGGGAAAACTCCCTCACCAGCAAGTATAATCAATCTTAACAACTTATCACTATCTCTTAAAGTAAAATCAAGCAACTTTTCATCACTCCATTCTATTTAACCAATCTCTAAAACTTTAGCTTGTCATATTAATCCGTACAAATCCATTAAGGGTTATAAGAAATAAAGTACAAACTATATCTACTAAACCCAATTTGAATTCTTCCTTTTTATATTTATACCTCCCTTTCTATTTAAATGTAGCCTCCCAGTTCCTTCAAAATCTTTAAAGCATACAGTCCCAATCAACAAACCATTAAACATTTCCAGAAATCGTAACCATTTTAATATTGATCAAATCAACTGATTTTATAGTCTTCTTCAGCAATCTTAAGATCTCTGAAACTTCTAACATCTTTGTCATGTACTCTTTGTCTCTTCTCAGAATCCTTGGGGTCTTTATCAAGTTCCTTGTATAATTTCCAATAGAAAAAAAGTTACCCATGTGACTTAATATTTTTGCTGTCTTTTCTCAAAAAAATTGACCAATTTAACAAGTCTCTCCTGTAAATCCAATGTAGAGAAATTAACCACATCACTCTTAATATTTGTATGTCTTTTTAAAGTCCTAAATCATCAGTTTCATTTGTAAATCCATTATTTCCATCTATTTCTTACAAGCTATCACATTCAAACCAGTTTGAGTTTTATTCAGTGGGGCTAACACCTACATTGTTTTAGTGTAGTAATAACTTGATAATTTCCCGAGTAGATTCATCGTACAATCACCCTTAAGGTATTTATTTCCTTCTAGTGCCCTCTAGCGCCCAACTTTCAAAGTCATCTTATCAGTTGTTTCCAAATATAAGCACAGACATTTTCCATGGAAAGAATACTTTCAATTAACTTCAAAGTCTTAAATCAAGTCCAGCTAAGCCCTTAATCCACGTAAAACTTTCAGAAGCCAACACCAATCATCCTAAAACGATAAAGAGCCGTGGTGGCACAGTGGTTATAATGCAGCATTGCAGGCTTATTCTGCTGACTGCCTGCTTTTTTCCTTTAGACCTGTGTTATTAACTCTGCATAGGGTAGAAATACATCCTCTCACTGGCATTGCCCCACCTACCCTTGGGAGAGAAGTAAGCAGCAGATGCCAAGAGAACTAAGCAAGAGAATGATCCTCAACATCCAATGAGCCCACCGGCTCAGCCCTAGGAATAGCTTTGTGGTAAGAACAAACATTCTTGAGGGTACATAAGGACAAAATCGAATTAAAAGATGGAGGAAGGAGACCATCAAGCAAGGAATAATATGAAAGGATATGGCTGAACGATTTGACCTCCCTGATACACTACTTGGTGGATCCTGAATAGCTTGAGAGCTGGAGCCCCTAAATGTGAAACCAGAGACTGGACAGTCACTTGTTTGAAATGATCTAGGATCTCCTGCTTAAGCAGAGGGCTGGACTAGAAGACCTCCAAGGTCCCTTCCAGCTCTATTCTGATTCCCTAATTCTGAAGTGGAAGCTCTTAGCGGATAACAACACGCTGGGTGAATGTGGCGAGGCGCAGAGCCCAGCCCATCCACTGGTATGTCGACTATTACCAGAAACATGTACTGATAAGGACTTATTTTTGGCCAACGACCAAGCCAAGTGGGTGACTTCATTCTGACAGTTTAAAGTTTGATCTAGACAGCAGCCGAGGCACCCATGGCAGTTAAGTCACCTGGAAAAGTGCCTTGCTGAGTTATTGTTCACTTCTTTCCAGAATCTCATTCCAGGAGCCTCTGTGGCACAGTGGTGAGAGTGCAGTATTGCAAGCTACTTCTGCAGCCAGCTGCCTACAATTTGGCAGTTCAAATCACACTAGGCTCAAGGTTGACTCAGCCTTCCAAGGTGGGTAAAATGAGGACCCAAACCGCTTAGAGAGGGCTGTAAAGCACTATAAAGCGATATATAAGTCTAAGTGCTATTGCTATCTCTGCTTCAAGGACAGGATGAGGTAGGACAGGGGTCTCCAACTTTAAGACTTGTGGACTTCAACTCCCAGAATTTGCTGGCTGAGGAATTCTGGGAATTGAAGTCCACAAGTCTTAAAGTTGCCAAGGTTGGAGACCCCTGGTTTGACCGCCCTTATTATTATTTCTGCATGGAAATAGTCACCACAGCTGTGCTGTTAAATTGCAGGGTCATCACTCATTCATGGGCAATTGGATTACCACTCTCTTAATCTTGCCTTAGGCTATGCCAGATTAGATGACGTGCATTGTTATTTGTCGCAGAGGTCAATATTTTCCCCATTTTGGAACACTTTCCTGCCCGCTTATTGGATTGAAAACCGCGGGTGGAATGAGAGGACCCCAAAGAGGCCCTGCGGGCCTTTGAGTTGCAATCCGGATCTGACAGATGTCGTTTCATGAAGGGGGCGTTGGGGTTGACAAGAACAAATAGGTCACGCGGAAGGCTGAGCATTGATTGCAATGGAACAGCTGTGCAGCTGCAACAGTGAAGCTTCTTGCAAATAGGACAGAGTGTCCCAACCTTGGTAACTTTAAGACATGTGGACATGGCTGGCTGGGGAATTCTGGGAGCTGAAGTCCACAAGTCTTAAAGTTGCCAAGGTTGGGAACTCCTAAAATAGGACTTGATTCCAGCACTGCTTTTAGCAGGTGGCTGTCAGTTCCCTGCTGGGGATCAGGATTGCCTTCTCTCCTCTGGAAGCAGCTATTCTGGGTTTGCCCCAGGCCCCCTCTTTTATATGTGGGCCTGTTCAGCCCCCTTTCATCCAGCCCCCATGTTCCTTTACCCTCTTCTTTTTCCACTGCACACTGAAACTACCTGTTCCACCTTCTGGCTTTCTCTTGACTCATCCAGCCTTTGCTTCCATAGATCTTTATATCCACATTCATTCATTCATTCATTCATTCATTCATTCATTCATTTGATTTATATTGCCGCCTATTCGCCCATGGCGACTCGAGGCGGCTTATACAATGTAAAATCATATTTAAAACAAAAAATAAAAACAAAAACAAAAAGAACTAACAAAAAGAATCAAATAAATTAGTAAAGTACAATAGAACAAAATTTGGGAAAACAAAAAACAAAAACAAAAAAACAAAAAACCAACTCCCATCCCCCACCCCGATGACAGTGGACCACACTAGCCATTTGATGGGTTCCATCCCTCTCTGGGTTCCCCAGGCCTGCTGGCAAAACCGGGTCTTCAGTGCCTTTCAGAATAGGATTAACGAGGGGGCCATTTTTTTAAAAACAAATTTTATTCAGTTTTTCACATTAAAAACAAAAATCTCTTTTTAGTGGACAACATATTTCCAGGTCATCACCTTTACATACAAATATGACAGCAATTATACATTCATATATGCATACTTAATTCTATTATTACCTTTTCCATTCCAAATTTTCAGTAAGGAGAGAAACAACCACATTAATTCTACCCTGTTTCTCCAACAATATGGCCTCCCCCAATAGGAAGTCCCAGCATGTTTTATAGGCATGAAATGAAATTAAGCCCCAACCCCCAAATTAAGGCCTATATTAAAACATGCGAAATGGGGGGAAATGGCGGAGGGGCTTGCTGTTAGGAAGTACTTTTGTTGCACACCCGGATATGGTGCTGCCTGCGTTGACCCTGATACAAAGGCCTGATACAAACGCCGAGGTCAACATCCAAGCTGTCGCCGCCTGCCCTAAGATGCAAGGGGGGGGGAATTAAGTCACCCCCGAAAAGATGGCCTAGTCGTTTTTTCGGGGCTCAAAAAAAAAATAACACCCAGCCTTATTATATGAGAAACACGGTAGCTTCTTTCATTAATCTCAGTCGAAACATCTTTTTGTTTCATTTCAATTATTTCAAATATAATCCTTTAATATTTATTTTAAAAATAAAGATAATATGTGTTTGCATAATAATAATAATAATAATAATAATAATAATAATAATAATAATAATAATAATAA